TTGACTTTCTGGGCTCAAGCGACCCTCCCACCTCAACCTCCCGAGTAGCTGGGAGTACAGGCACGCACCACCACGCCCGGCTAATTTTTTGTTATTGTTGTTGTTGTAGAGATGGGGTCTCACTATGTTGCCCAGGCTGGTCTTGAACTCCTGGCCTTGAGTGACCCTCCCACCTTGGCCTCCCCAGTAGGTGGGACTACAGGAGCATACCACGGTGCCTGGCAGCACCTGAAACTTCTTCTTCTTCTTCTTTTTTTTTTTTGAGATGGAGTGTAGTCTGGCTCTGTCGTCCAGGCTAGAGTGCAGTGGTGCAATCTCTGCTCACTACAACCTCTGCCTCCCAGGTTTAAGTGATCCTTCTGCCTCAGCCTCCCAAGTAGCTGGGATTACAGGTGCCTGCCACCATGCCCGGCTAATTTTTGGTTTTAGTAGAGACGGGGTCTCACCATATTGGCCAGGCTGGTCTCAAACTCCTGACCTCAGGTTATTCGCCCACCTCGACCTCCCACAGTGCTGGGATTACAGGCGTGAGCCACCACGCCTGACCAAGCATCTGAAACTTCTATCCCTGAAAATATAGTAACGTTATTAAACAGAGTAACATTATCATTAAATATAGTAGCTTTATTATTTCTGTCAGTAGAGCAGTGATTCTCAAGGTGGGGCAGTGAGGGAGGGGTTGACTCTGTTCCCTAGAGGACACTCGACAATGACGGAAAACACTTGCGGTTGTCGTGATTGGAGCATGTGCGTGCTACTTGCGTCTTGTGGGTGGAGGCCAGGGATGCTGCTCAACGCCACACATTGCATAGGACAGGTCCCCAAACAAAGGATAGTCTGGTCCCAAATGTCGGCAGGAAAGCCTGGTCTAGAGACAGGTTTCCTTAACGCTCACTGGAACCTTGATCTTGGAGGCCGAACTGGGATTGAATCCCAACTCTACCACTCGTTGAGTGAAACTGGCAGGACTGATTTTTTGTTTGTTTGTTTTTGTTTCTGAGATGGAGTCTTGCTCTGTTGCCCAGGCTGGAGTGCAGTGGTCCGCTTTCAGCTCACTGAAACCTCTACCTACTGGGTTCAAATTCTTGTGCCTCACCCTCCCAAGTAGCTGGGATTACAGGTGTGAGTCACCACACCCAGCTAATTTTTGTATTTTTAGTAGAGATGGGGTCTCACCATGTTGTCCAGGCTGGTGTCGAACTCCTGACCTCAGGTGATCCACCTGCCTTGGCCTCCCAAAGTGCTGGGGTTACAGGCGTGAGCCACTGCCCGGCCTTGGAGTTTTTTTGTTTGTTGGTTTGTTTGTTTTTGAGACAGAGTCTCACTCTGTCGCCCAGGCTGGAGTGCAGTGGCGGGATCTTGGCTCATTGCAATCCTCGACTCCTGGGTTCAAACAATTCTTATAGCTCAGCCTCCCAAGTAGCTGGGATTACAGGCATGCGTCACCACGCCCAGCTAATTTTTGTATTTTTAGTAGAGATAGGGGTCTCACCATATTGGCCAGTCTGGTCTTGAATGCCTGACTTCAGGTGATCCACCCTCTTCAGCCTCCCAAAGTGCTGGGATTACAGGTGTGAGCCACCGTGCCCGGCCTTGGAGTTTTAATGGTAATTAATCACGGCTAACATCTCACAGGCCCTTCCTGTGATGTAGGCGTGGTGTTAGTCTCACTCTCTGTATAAATGCATTTCACTGTCTCACCAACCCAGGAGGTTAGTGAGAAAATTCAGGTGCACAGTGGTGAAGCGTCACAGGCAAGGGACTTCACCTTTCCGCATCTTGTTTTCTTCATCCATGAAACAGGATCATAATGTCCATCTCTTGGGGTAATAACGTGGACGGCTAATGCCAAATGCCAACCAACTGGCAACTTCTAGACTGTGAGCAAATGGCATCTTTTACGAGAAGCCGTATCAGCCTGGCACACAATGGTTAACCACCAAGTCTGGGCTGAATGCCCGGCTAAGCTGGGGCCTGAGTGCAAACAATTTCTTTCATTATCCCAGTTGCTGGGAGAATTGGGCAAAGAGAGACACATAAAATACATAAGACAAAAGCTACTAGGATAGCTAGCGGCTTGTCTTCCGGGTGGCGCCGAGGCCAGGAAACTCCTCTCTAACCTATTTCACCAGAGGAGTCTATATTGGCCCTTCCGCTACCAGCAAGGGCAAAAGAGAGGCTGGAGCCCCCAGGACAGCCAGAACGCTAACACTGCAAAGGGCCTCTGTCCTTACTGGGGAAGCCCAATCTTGCTTAGCTATCTTCTTCAGCAACAAACAGAAGTCAAGAAAGAGAAACAGTTGTGGAGGAACCTGTTGTGATGATAATTTACTGAGCACCTACTATGTGCCAGGCACGCCAACCTTACCAGACAAGATCCTTGGGCTCATGGAATTCACTTTCTCATGGGAGAGACAAACAATAACACGTAGAAACATATCAGCTGGTGGTGAGTACCGTGCAGAAAATTAAAATAGGGCGATGGCATTGGGAGTGACTTAAGGGGTCACTATGCAATGGGATGGTCAGAGACAGCCTCTCAGGAGGAGGTAGCATTGAAGCTAAAATGTGAATGACATGAACAGATGCAGCATAGAACATTAAGGTACAGGACGTGCAAAGGCCCTGAGGTTGAAATAAGCTAAATGCATTAGACTAGGGGTTCTCAAGTAAGGGAATTCTGCCCCCTAGGAGACATTGCAATGTCTAGGAAGACTTTTTTTTTTTTTTTTTTGAGATGGACTCTTGCTCTGTTGCCCAGGCTGGAGTGCAGTGGCACAATCTCGGCTCACTGCAAGCTCCACCTCCCAGGTTCATGCCATTCTTCTGCCTCAGCCTCCCGAGTAGCTGGGACTACAGGCATCCGCCACACACCCTGCTAATTTTTTGTATTTTTAGTAGAGATGGATTTCACCGTGTTAGCCAGGATGGTCTCGATCTCCTGACCTTGTGATCTGCCTGCCTCGGCCTCCCAAAGTGCTGGGATTACAGGCATGAGCCACTGCGCCTGGCCGAGACTTTTTTTTTTTTTTTGAGATGGAGTCTCAGTCTCGCTCTGTCGCCCAGGTTGGAGTGCAGTGGCATGATCTTGGCTCACTGCAACCTCCGCTTCCTGGGTTCAAGTGATTCTCCTGCCTCAGGCTTCCAAGTAGCTGGGATTACAGGTACATGCCACCATGCCAGCTAATTTTTGTATTTTTAGTACAGATGGGGTTTCGCCATGTTGGCCAGGCTGGTCTCGAACTCCTGGCCTCAAGCAATCTGCCTGCCTTGGCCCCTCAAAGTGCTGGGATTAGAGGCGTGAGCCACCACATTCAGCCTAGGGATGCTTTTTAATTGTCAAGACTTTGGTGGTAGTGGTGGTGGGGGTGGGGGGTGTGCTGTTGAAATCTAATGGGTGGGGGCCGGAAATGTTTTGCAGCATCCTAAAATGCATGGGACAATTGCCACCACAGAGGATGATCTGGCCTCAAATGTCTGTCATACTGAGATGGAGGAAGCCTGGGATAGATAGTAGGAAAAAGCCTAGAGGTGAAAGTCAAGGTTAAAACCTCTGATCCGGCCCGGCGCGGTGGCTCAAGCCTGTAATCCCAGCACTTTGGGAGGCCGAGACGGGCGGATCACAAGGTCAGGAGATCGAGACCATCCTGGCTAACCCCGTGAAACCCCGTCTCTACTAAAAAATACAAAAAACTAGCCGGGCGAGGTGGCGGGCGCCTGCAGTCCCAGCTACTCGGGAGGCTGAGGCAGGAGAATGGCGTAAACCTGGGAGGCGGAGCTTGCAGTGAGCTGAGATCCGGCCACTGCACTCCAGCCTGGGTGACAGAGCGAGACTCCGTCTCAAAAAAAAAAAAAAACAAACAAACAACAAAAAAAAAACCTCTGATCCTCCTGCGGACATCAGGAGGCAGTAACCGAGGGAGTGTGGCCATGCCCTGAAGTGAATTCAGGTCCAAGGAGCCTGCTGCGACCCAGGAAAAACGAGAGAAGGACCAGAAATTGTGGTGGAGGCAAATTCAAGGTCAGAAGACTGGGGAGGAGGTGCTAAGAGAGGTCTGGAGAGATGCTGGGACCGAGAACTGGAGCCTCAGTGAGATCAGCAGGCTGCAGCTCAACTGTGGTATCCGGGTGAGTTGTGGGAAGGTGGCTGGGTGGCTGGGCTGGGTTTATGGGGGCAGGGTCCCTGGAGGAGAGGGAGTAGACCAGCACTCGCTCCCTGACTCTGCCCTTCTAGCTGGTGAGAACTTTCTCACGCTAAGCTGCAGTTTTCTCATCTGTCAAATGGTGACACTCAACTCTACTTACTGGGCCTTTACTGTTGAGAAAATAATTAATTCTGGCCGCACATGGTGGCTCATGCCTCTAATCCCAGCACTTTGGGAGGCTGAGGCAGGAGGATGGCTTGAGGCCAAGAGTTCAAGACCAGCCTGGGCAACATAGTGAGACCCCTGTCTCTACAAAAAATAAAAAACTTAAGCCTAGCATGGTGGCACATGCCTACAGTTCCAGCTACTTGAGAGGCTGAGGCAGGAGGATGGCTTGAATCCTGGAGTTCAAGGCTGTAGTGAGCTATGATCATGTCACTGCACTCTAATCTGGGCAACAGAGTGAGACCCTGTCTCTTAAAAAAAAAAAAAAAAGCAAACTTAAAAAACTAGCTGGGTATGGTGGTGTGTGGCTATCTAGCTGGGCATGGTGTTGTGTGCCTGTAGTCCCAGCTACTCAGGAGGCTGAGGTGGGAGGATCACTTGAGGACAGGAGATGGAGGCTGCAGTGAGCCACAATAGTACCACTGCACTCCAGCCTGGGCGACAAAGCAAGACCCTGACTCTTTTTTTTTCCTTTGAGACGGGGTTTCGCTCCTGTTGCCCAGGCTGGAGTGTAATGGCACGATCTCAGCTCACCACAACCTCCACCTCCTGGGTTCAAGCAATTCTCTTGCCTCAGCCTCCCCAGCATGCACCATCACGCCCAGCTAATTTTGTATTTTCGGAAGAGACAGGGTTTCTCCATGTTGGCCAGGCTGGTCTCAAACTCTCGACCTCAGGCGATCTGCCTGCCTCAGCCTACCAAAGTGCTGGGATTACAGATGTGAGCCACTGTGCCTGGCTGACCCTGACTCTTAAAAAAAAAAAAAAAAAAAAAAAAAAAGAATTAACTCAGCAGGCCTGAGTTGTCCACACGCCACACGTTAAAGGTGTAGCTCTTGACCTGCTCCTGGGAAGTGACCTCTAAGCCCTTGGAAAGCGATAAGAGTGTCTTTGTTTACCTGGAGAGCCTTGGCTCACACTGGATACTAACAACACGACTTAGAGAGGGAGCTTTGAGTCATGCGATATCGGTTGACCCCTGGAGGGGCTGGGGATTAAAGTCAGCCATGCGGGTGATCAGTGATTTCTACATGACCAACCCCCAATAAAAACCCCAGACATCAAGGCTCAGGAGCGCTTTCCTAGTTGGTGCCAAACTATGCATGTTGTCACACGTCACTGCTGGGAGATTTAAGTGCTGGCCACACAACATCACTGGGAGGGGACAACTGAAATCTCACATCTGGTCTCTCCTGGGCCCTGCCCTGGATGCCTCTTCCTGTGCCTGATCTTATTTTATTTTTTGAGGCAGAGTCTCGCTCTGTTGCCCAGGCTGGAGTACAGTGTTGCGATCTTGGCTCACTGCAACCTCTGCCTCCCAGGCTCAAGTGATCCTCTCACCTCAGCCTTGTGAATAGCTGGGACTACAGGTATGCACCACCACATCTGGCTAATTTTTAAATTTTTTTGTAGAGATGGGGTTTCATCATGTTGCCCAGGCTGGTCTTGAACCCTTGGACTCCCAAAGTGCTGGGATTACAGGCGTGAACCACCACGTCTGGCCCTGGATAATTTTTTATTTTGTAGAGACACTGTCTCCCTTGTTGCCCGGGCTGGTCTTGAACTCCTGGGCTCAAGCAATCCCCCATCTCAGCCTCTCAAAGTGCCGAGATTATAGGCATGAGCCACTGTGCCTGGTCCCTTGGCTGATTTTAATTTATATCCATTCATCATAACCTATGAGTACCTATTTTACAGCTTTTTCTGTTTTGTTTTGTTTTGTTTTGTTTTGTTTTGTTTTGTGTTGAGATGGAATGTCGCTCTGTTGCCGAGACTGGGTGTGGTGTGATCTCAGCTCACTGCAACCTCCGCCTCCCGGGTTCAAGGGATTCTCATGTCTCAGCCCCCCAAGTAGCTGGGATTACAGACATGCACCGTCATGCCCGTCTAATTTTTGTATTTTTAGTAGAGACAGGGTTTCACCATGTTGGCCGGGCTGGTCTCCAACTCCTGACCTCAAGTGATTAGCCCTCCTTGGCCTCCTAAAATGCTGGGATTACAGACGTGAGCCACCTTGCCTGGGATATAACACCATTTTTAAATTCTCTGAGTCCTAAGGAATCGTGGAACTTGAGGGTGCTCTTGGGGATCCCTCAATGGTAGAGTCTGTCCTGGGTGGACAAGGCAGGGAAGGGAAGTCGAGGCAGAGAGGATAGTAAGAGCAAAGATACAAAGGTTTGAAAATACAGTTGACTCAGTAGAATCAATATCACTGTTTTGTTGAGGGCTCACTACATGCTGGGCATTTTACAGACCTATCTCCCAACTGCCTTGTTGATGTTTTGTTCAAGGTGGATATTTTTGACATTAATTTTGATCTGCTAACACATTGCGCTACCTCATGTATTGCTGCAGAGACGAGTGCCCTGAATGGCTCTTATTTTCATTTCACAGACTATGCGGCTGAGGCCCTGGGAGGGAGGCCACTTGTGTAAGTCCTCCAGGAGGGCGATGGAGGAGCCGGCATTCAAACCAGACTCATGGATGTCAAGGTACACGCGTGTTCTCTCTGCCTCCAGCGGTGGTTTGCTACTGCTGCGAAGAGGTGGGGCAGGATTCAGGTCGCCAGGGCATTTCCTTTTTTTTTTTTTGAGACAGAGTCTCGCTCTGTCGCCCAGGCTAGAGTACAGTGGCCGGATCTCAGCTCACTACAAGCTCTGCCTCCCGAGTTTACGCCATTCTCCTGCCTCAGCCTCCCGAGTAGCTGGGACTACAGGCGCCCGCCACCTCGCCCGGCTAGGTTTTTGTATTT